CCCCAAAACCCCAAAACCCCATAGAGGAAATTTCTGACAATTCAGCAAAGTTATGAAATTAAATTTAGAGATATTCAATTATATCTTTCATAATTGCTAGTCAGCATCATTTCTTTCTTTTCTAGTCTTGAATATTATTCTATGATATATCTTGCTAAGTTCTACTGCTCTAGTTTTTAGTGTGTCTATTGCTATTAGTGTTGGCTTGTTAGCCTTACTTGTCTTTTGGCTTGGCAGTGTTAGTTGACTTCTAGCCAGGCATTTTCATTATACTTGAGTTGAACATTCCCGATACTGTGTCGATATAAGGTGGCATCACTTCTCTAGGATCCCATTTAGTAGCTAATTGCTACAGTGTACTTTGGATCTTATTCCAAGGATGAACATTGTTGATTTATCTCAAATCTGCAATAAGCAGGTTACTCAGACTAAGACTCTTGCTCCAGGTGCTTAGAATCTTAACCACAGCAAAGTCCATTTGTTATCCAGTAGCAAAGGATAACAAGCTAGCATCTGGAAATAGCTCTGGCAGAATCTCACCTAGTTTGAGCTGAATAGGTTTGTTTACTTGATTTAAGACTCCATTTGTGCCGAACCACACTAGTTCTCTATTGTTATCAAGCATGATCAAACTGTGAGAAAAGCCAGCTGCTATCTATATGGCTTTCTCCTTATGTTTGTTCTTTTCAATGACCAAGAGTCTAGGATTGATTTCCGAGTCAAAATGACTGTGGCCAAGCTGACCCTTAGCTCCCCAGCCCCAGGTGTAGATTTTGCCTAGAGTGGATTTAGCGATGACATGCTTGTAACCACATTCAAGTGAGTCTATTCTTTCTCCAATGTCCTTCAATGTTGCAATTATCTCTGGCACATCTCTTGGGTAAATGTGGCCCAGTCCAAGCTAACCTTCAGAATTGTCTTTTCCAAGTGAGTAGACAAGACCTTGAGTTGATATGAAAAATCCAAAGTTATAGCCACAAGACACTTTGGATATCTTGATTTTCTCGCTAAATGGCATTTTCACTGGCAGGCTATAGGTAGTTCCTCCTCTTTAGAACGGCCAAGCGTAAGCCTCGCCATTCTCACAAGCACAAAGACTTAAGTCACCTGCAGCAGCTATTCCATTAATCTTGATACCCTACTTAGCAAAGAAATCAACTCTTCTGGGCATCCATTCATCTTCGTATGTGCCTAGACCAAGCTAACCTTTGTCGTTGCTACCCCAAACTAAGAGTTCTTGATTGTCTTGCATCAATACTAAGCATCTATCCTAAGCAGCTACAATCTACCTGACTCTTTAATCTGATTGCCCACTTCCGGTTTCCATTTCATTCAATTAGACCTACGCTTGTCTAGAATACTAGCGTATGACTATTTCACTAGACTCTTGAGTGTTTTTAGCACATTAACCATTATCGTTCCAGCCCCAGCAGTATATTTTTCCTTTTTGGTTAGCTGCTATTGTGTGAGTTACTCCAACTTAAACTTGCATTATTGGAACTTCAGCTTGCAAACCTTCTTTAGATAGTTTCATCCATTGAACTGACCATGGCTAACTGTATATCTCAGAGAGATCAGTCATGATATGAATATCAATTGTCTTCAAAAACAGCTGGATCTTCTTAAGTGAGTGTGGAGTGTGCGGCTTGATGATCTCAGAGAGTATGGCTCCATCCCCCTAAATCCCAAACAACTGATAGTTCTCTATCTGTTTGACGTTCCTGATCACATTCAACTCCTAGCCAATATAGCTGACTAGTCTCTGTTTGATGATATCCCTTCTGGCAAGGAATCTTCTCACACTGCGTTGAATCGTTATCACATTATTCCTCAAGTTCTCAAAGAACTCTCTGTACCATTTCTACCTCATGAAGCCCTAGACCTTCTAAGCAGTCAGGTGTAAATGCCTCATTCTATTTCTGACTATCATGCCTCTCAGTCGCTTCTAAACTCTTTTAGCAGCAACGTGTAGCTTCAAGTTCTCTTTGGACTTCAATGCAGATACCACTAAGTTCATTTTCCTATCTCTAGCAGTGAAGCCTCTGAATATTCTCTACACTAATCTAACAGATCTCTCTTCTGCTCTGTACTTGCCAATCTAAAAAGATTTCTCAACTAACTGTCTTGTCAGAGTGAAGCATATATAGTACTTCCTGAGTCTTTTAATAGTCACATAAGCTTCAATGCACTTCATTACCTTGTGTCTATCTCTCAGAGACTTTGTCAATTGGTCTCTAAACATATACTTCTTGTAAGTATCAGTCAGTATCTGCGAGGCTTTCAATTCATAGTCTTTTCTCTTGTCAGTTTTGTACTTTACCACTGAAATCAATGCCTTTTCATAAAATGCCTTTGCTCTTTTATCAATAATTTCTAGTCGTTTTTGCTGTAGAAATGAAATATATAATCAATATATTGCTTACTCTCAGATAAGATTGGATGTTAATCATCTTCTGCTTATTTTAGTTTGCATTAGTCTGGCCAAGGAACAACTAGAATGCTCTTTTAATAAGTTTGGCTGAGTCATCCCTTACTTCTCTCTAGAATATGTTATGATTAAAATATTATAATTTACTTGTTTGGATTTGGCTTTCTCAAGAAGTGCGACACATTCATTCCTCATTAGTATCTTGGTCTTCCCAATGGCATAAAATTCCTTGTAGCCTTAAAATGCCTCACTTAGTATAGTGGTACTATAGGACTTAAAGTCAGAGGTAGATTTTGACATATTTTCGTAGCGAATGGTTCCGAATATTGGACTAAGTAGCTCATATCTCTGGTAAAACTCCTCAAATGATTTTCTGTAAGGGTAATTCTTCTGCTTAACATCAATTGACTCTAAGACACCCATATATGTTATCTGTTGTAAACACATCGCATGAACAAAACAATCTTGTATTTTGAAGTCATTTGGCTTGATGCATCTGATGAAATGCAAAGAACACTGCTCTATCTCAGGTAAGTTTTGATTCTAGCTGCTTTTCTTAATGGCACCACTCTGGCTTTATGATACTTTGGTCTCTTCTGCAGTGCTAGGATCCTACTGCTTGAAATCTAGCAAAGGCTCTGCTAGCTCCATCATTAGATCTTGCATCTGATCTGAAAACTTATGCCAAATAGTCTTCTTCTACGCACCTTTACCTCCCTTTTTCTCCTCTTCTTCAGCTTACTTTTACCCAGGCTTTGAAAAGCCTTGGAAAATTTTAGAGATCGTAGCTTCAGTCTTTGTCAAAATACACTTTTCAAGTGAGTTCGATATTTCGTCTACATTTCTTTCAATGAATTACTTGCAAGAATAAATAACCTCCTTAGCTGAATGTTTAATTTTGAACTTTTCCTTGACTTTCTCCTTCTAGTAGACATTGACTGCCGAGGTTGAGGTCTTATGCATGTCATCTATACGTTTTATCAGGATTTCCCAAGTAGGCCTTGGCTTTTAGGTGCTGCAATCATTGATGATATTGAATATACCAATCTTAGATACACCGCCACCTCCACCAGCCTTACTGCCAGTTTGTAGCTTTTCATCAAGGATCTTAATAACATCTAAGCTAGTCATGTCTGGATACTTTAGCTGATTAACTCTATCTCCAAGACCTTCGTTTCTGAGTTCAAACTTCTCAGCATCAAATATGGCTGATATATATAGCTTGTGGAGTTTTTCATTGACATAGTTGATACAGAGCTGCTCAAAGTTGTTTTCTTTGAAATTTTCAAACCCAAAAATGTCAAGAAGACCTATAGTTTTAGTCTCTGACTTAAAACTGTCTTCTCCTTCATTCTCAGGTAAAATCGTAAGATTCATTCTCTCAACTAGCCAGTTGAAGAGGTTATCATAGAGATACTTTGCAAGTGAGTCTCTGGCATCAAAGCACTCATTTATCTTTAACGGAGCTCTAATGTTCATGCCGGGCTGAGAGGGCTTGTTAACAATATCAAGTATCAAATCTTGAGGGTTTTGTACTCCTAGTATTCTGGCTATTGTCTCAGCTCTCTCAATGTTGGTAATTGAGCAGGGTTTACCGTTTTCGTTATAAGTCAAGTCATTGAACTGTATCTCTCCCAGATGCAAGCAGGCTGCTGTAATCTTCCACACAGCCATCTGCTCAAGCTCTGTGAATCCCAGATTCTTAAATTACCTTTCTAGTTCTAAGTACAGTGAGGCATCATTGATAATCTTCTGCTCCACGTCTGTTCCGCACTTCAGGAAGTTGAATTCTGTGTAATCCATTCTTTCACCTGTCTTTGGATGCAGCAGTTCAAGCTCTCTTAGGAGTTCCATCGATGCTCCTCTCAGAATGTGATAGAAAACATGGTAGTTTCTTTCTCCTCCAGCTGGGCCTACCACTCTTGATTTTTCAAGAAGGTAGTTCTTAACTCTGGCTCCAAGGATCTCTCCCTTTGGATGGCTGAAGTACAAGATCACATACTTACCAAATCTAGAGGAGTTATTGTTTCTAACTGTCTTTGAATTTCCAAATGATTCTAAAACTGGATTTGTGTCTAAAATTTTCTGTTCTATTCCAGGCTGTTCAATCTAGTCATCGTTATTGCCTCTGCCCTTTTGCGAAAGCTTAGTCAGAAACTTCATTGCACACTTAGCAGACTCAGTCTTACCAGCACCAGACTCTCCACTGATGACAATAGCCTGCTTCTGCTTGCTTTCAATCATTTGCTTGAAAGCCATAGCTGTGATAGCGAATATGTGTGGGGGCAGTTTCTTTCTCTCCTCAAGAGGATGCCTGCTGTTTATGATTTCCTTGTAGTCCTAGACCTTCCTCTCAGTGTACAAATGGTCCATGTTCTTGAAGGGATTCATAGCCAGCAGAATAGGACCTACATAGGTGTAAATCTCGTTCATGACATAGCGCTTAAACAAGTTGAAAAGCAGCGTCGCATGGTTCAGCTCATCGATCTCAACCATATCCGCAATTCCTTTCTCGCTAGCTACTGAGTACTCCATGGTCTTGCTCATTGGTATCAAGAAGGATGGACCCAGGTAGTCTTGTATTTTGCATTCAGTTTCATTTGGTGCGAGTTTGACAAGCAAGTCGTCGCCTTAGACTTTCAAGATATTTGCCTAAACAACATAAGTATCCAGTCAAATCACTTACAGCATAAAACGGCTTGCTGGAGTTGTCCATTGCGTTTTCATCGTAAAACTCATTTTTAAACCAGACTAGCTAGTCTTTCTAGATCTGCTGATTCATAAACATAGTTTTCTATAATCATTAATACATATATTTGATACTCTTCTATCTCCTGGGTTGACACTGTCTATTTTCTAGAAATTTGAGAGCACTTCTTTTATCTCTTCAAAAGTCAACATAGTTATCTTTTCTTTATATAAATTTATATGATTATTAGAAATCTTAAATAAATCAATCATTATAATAACTCTACGGGGTTTTGGGGTTTTGGGG